TCAACAAGCTTGTTGGGAGGCAGTGGGTCTATTCTTGTTTCCCCAAAAATGGGGCTCTAAAACCCGCACAGGAACAGTTATGATATTAAAGACATGAAGTGGTTTGACCATTTAGTATGCATGCAGCTAGGCCAAACTGTGTATGAGACCTTCTAAAGCAGAACATCTGGAAGCAGAAGGCAATACAAAGATAAAGGAAGATATCGACAGACAGCGTAGCTGAATCTCCTACAATAAAAAATAAAACATAACGACAATTCAATTTACTCGAGAAAGCACAAGGAAATAGAGAAAACTCTGGCACTATGCAACGAAGTGGTTACAGTGCGATGATAAAAGAAGAAAGAAATACAACAGAATTTCAGTTAGTGATACCCTGTTCTTTCCCACAATTCTGATTCACAATGACGGATACTGATGAACATAAACCTACGTATGATTTGAATGAGCTGACTCAAAAACATGAATGGCGCTACTGAATGCTACCTGATGCTACAAAACTGATGTGTATCTACTACCTGATGCTACCAAACTGTTGTGTATCTACTACCTGATGCTACCAAACTGATGTGTATCTACTACCTGATGCTACCAAACTGATGTGTATCTACTACCTGATGCTACCAAACTGACGTGTATCTACTACCTGATGCTACCAAACTGACATGTATCTACTACCTGATGCTACCAAACTGATGTGTATCTACTACCTGATGCTACCAAACTGACATGTATCTACTACCTGATGCTACAAAACTGATGTGTATCCACTACCTGATGCTACCAAACTGACATGTATCTACTACCTGATGCTACCAAACTGATGTGTATCTACTACCTGATGCTACCAAACTGATGTGTATCTACTACCTGATGCTACCAAACTGACATGTATCTACTACCTGATTCTACCAAACTGATGTGTATCTACTACCTGATGCTACCAAACTGATGTGTATCTACTACCTGATGCTCCCAAACTGATGTGTATCTACTACCTGATGCTACCAAACTGATGTGTATCTACTACCTGATGCTACCAAACTGATGTGTATCTACTACCTGATGCTACCAAACTGATGTGTATCTACTACCTGATGCTACCAAACTGATGTGTATCTACTACCTGATGCTCCCAAACTGACGTGTATCTATCTTGGTGTGATCGATGGGTTTGTAAACACCAATGACCTTCTGAGCTATGCTAATGGTAGTTTTTACACTGGTAGGGGGGTCTCCCATTTAAGTCAGTCAAGAGATAGGAATGAAGACTATGACAGACCTAAACTCACTGGGTTGTAGGTAAAGGGGAAGGTCAAAAACTAGGGATAGTAAATAGAAAAAATGCTTGCTGAAACCAGATGCACTGAGTCATAACTCTGACAGAAAAAAAAAAAAACCAGTGTATTTTGCTTTATGATGTCTGTCTGCTAAATGATGGTCAGAAAACATCTTATATTTATTCGCATTGAGAAAAATAATGCAAAAATTATGGATGAAAATAAAACCCAACACAAGAGTGGTTGGAAGTGTAAGCAAAAATGAATGATGGTAAAATCAATCAGTAAAATAGATAAATGACTAATAATCTATGGATAATTATAAAAACTGGCTTATAATTATAACATTTATCTCTCTTCTTCATCCAGTTTCTTCTAAATCCTTCTTGATCTTGTCAGTATTTTTAATTTCACTCCCTCTTTATTCTCCTATTACAAGCATCTTTCATGCACACAAACATTTACAAATATATTTTGCCATATGTCAGACTTGAAATTAGCAGTCAGTCTTTTGCAAAACAGGTAACGACATTGTTCATCTAGTTCACCAGTTAGCAGGAGGCAGCTGAACGAGTCATAGTTCTATTCATTCAAGAATTGAATGTTGAATTAAGAACTGACATTACAGCACTTGGGACACTTCCATAAGTACTCCGTTCCCATTGTCAGCAGCAAGCAAAGAGTTATAATTTCATTGGTACCAGTAACAATGTGTGATTGTATGTCCATCTCATCCTTCCCCTGAGTGTTGAGTGTTGGCCAAATTCCCTGGTAACTCCCTGGAGTGCCATTCTCATTAGATCGTAATGATCTATCTATCTGCGCCTCCGCACTGTTCACTATTCCTTCAAGAAATGTAATCAAACTAAAATAATCAACATCATCAAGTGCTCTGCTAATAGATCATGCTTCTCCATACGTTCCGATCTCCAGCAGGATGTATCAGTTGTGTGTGGACACTTTACCTGCCAGGTCAACAGCTATGAAGAACTTTCTCTCATTGTCTTTATTTGTCTCTCTTTCAGTTTATCTTTTCAGCTGTCACATGTTCCAGTTTTTCTCACTTAAAAATGTGGCCAGAAAACAAAACATGATGTTGCCTCCTGATTTTGGTGGCAAGTTGTTTCTTTGTCCACAAAATTTCAATATAAGGACATGTATTGAGGTTGATTCACAGATCCACTGCAAATGCTATGGACTAGGTGCAGTTCTGGGATTCAAACCCACACACTCACTACACCAGTGTACTTCCCAGTGGCGTTGGCGACTTTTCTCATAGCACAATTTGACACTAGTGTCTGGAAAGACAGCAAGGTGCCATCAATAACTGATGCTTGAACTTATACTAGAATCATATTATTGACAGTGTCTCTCATTACACATTTAGGCATCACTATTTTATTTTATGATAACACCGAAACACTAATTTCCTTTTCACACACAGAAGTGTCAAGCGAACAAACTACAAACAGAATGAAAATAAATGAGGAGTGACTGGTAGAGAAGTTAGCTATGTGCTTATTTGGAGATCCAAGTTTGAACCCCCATTAGGGTGACAGAGTTTTGTTCGCTGGGGACAAAAGTTACAATTATTTACCTGGAAATGCACTAGTTATGCTGTGCTGGGTCCCCAGACTCAAGACCCACCTGTTCTACACTGCCCTGACACTAGCCATGCTGTGCTAGGTCCCCAGACTCAAGACCCACCTGTTCTACACTGCCCTGACACTAGCCATGCTGTGCGAGGTCCCCAGACTCAAGACCCACCTGTTCTACACTGCCCTGACACTAGCCATGCTGTGCTAGGTCCCCAGACTCAAGACCCACCTGTTCTACACTGCCCTGACACTAGCCATGCTGTGCTAGGTCCCCAGACTCAAGACCCACCTGTTCTACACTGCCCTGACACTAGCCATGCTGTGCTAGGTCCCCAGACTCAAGACCCACCTGTTCTACACTGCCCTGACACTAGCCATGCTGTGCTAGGTCCCCAGACTCAAGACCCACCTGTTCTACACTGCCCTGACACTAGCCATGCTGTGCTAGGTCCCCAGACTCAAGACCCACCTGTTCTACACTGCCCTGACACTAGCCATGCTGTGCTAGGTCCCCAGACTCAAGACCCACCTGTTCTACACTGCCCTGACACTAGCCATGCTGTGCTAGGTCCCCAGACACAAGACCCACCTGTTCTACACTGCCCTGACACTAGCCATGCTGTGCTAGGTCCCCAGACTCAAGACCCACCTGTTCTACACTGCCCTGACACTAGCCATGCTGTGCTAGGTCCCCAGACTCAAGACCCACCTGTTCTACACTGCCCTGACACTAGCCATGCTGTGCTAGGTCCCCAGACACAAGACCCACCTGTTCTACACTGCCCTGACACTAGCCATGCTGTGCTAGGTCCCCAGACTCAAGACCCACCTGTTCTACACTGCCCTGACACTAGCCATGCTGTGCTAGGTCCCCAGACTCAAGACCCACCTGTTCTACAATGCCCTGACACTGGCCATGCTGTGCTAGGTCCCCAGACTCAAGACCCACCTGTTCTACACTGCCCTGACACTAGCCATGCTGTGCTAGGTCCCCAGACTCAAGACCCACCTGTTCTACACTGCCCTGACACTAGCCATGCTGTGCTAGGTCCCCAGACTCAAGACCCACCTGTTCTACACTGCCCTGACACTAGCCATGCCGTGCTAGGTCCCCAGACTCAAGACCCACCTGTTCTACACTGCCCTACACAGTGGTCAATGCAGACAGTGAAGTCATCATTATCCTGTTGTGCCATTATATTTCACTTATGGCTTGCAGTCTGTTTCTCCAGTCTGTTCTAAACTGTGCCATTGCTTTGATATCACGGATGGAGTCCAGTCCACACCTCTAGCTCCTCTTATCAATGATCACCTTAGAGTTTATTTTGGACATCCTTGTATCCTCAGTATCTCTATTTCCCATTTCAGTGCCTGTTTAGTGATTCTTTGTTCGTCTCTTCTCACAATGTGTCCAATATAGTCCCATCTCCTCTGTCTTATGACTGTTGATAATACTGACTGCCCAGAAGTTTCTCTTATTTCTTCACTCCTCTTAAATTCATCCCATTTTTTGTGCATGATTTTTTCCCGCAGACATTTATTTTCGAATGCATTTAACTTTTATTGCATATCTTTGATAGTTCTCAGACTTCCACTGGTATATGTTAAAAGAGAATTAGAAAAGAGAATTAGTAACTTGGTTCTAAAACTATAAATTTAAGAGTTAAATATTTTATTCAAGCTGCTAAAAACTGCCGATGCTTCACCAATGTGAGTCATAATTTCGTTCTTTGTGTTTTCTTGACTTTCAATTAACTATCTAATAAGTAAATATATCTGTGGCTCTATTTCTCTTTGTATCTAGCGTTAAGTCCACCTGATATGCTTTTGGTGTCCTCAATTATTTGTATTTTCATAACTTATTTCAAGTCCAGTGTTTGATGCTACTTGTGCCAAATCATCTCTTTTTCTTTGCAGGTCATTGTTGTCTTTACTTAGCATAACAAAATCAACAGCAAAATCAAGATCACACAACTGTGTGTTCTCCGTCCAGTCAATGGCAGTGTTTCCAACATATTTTTAAATCACCCAGTCAAAAGCTGTACCAAATTACTGGTGAGATGAAACAATCCAGATTCAACTGCAAACCAAAAAATTAAATTATCATTATAATGCCCTCATACTAAAGAAATAACATTGCAATAACAACAGAACATAATAGGTGTACCAACACCGTATTTTTTAGCCGCATGCAACTTTCTTTCCCATTTCTCTGATGCCAACTTTCACTGCTAGGAATATCTTCCAGTTTAACTGTTGCCGTGGCCATGGCTGCTGGACTTTGAAAGCAATCACTACTAAACAGCCGAACGTCCAATCTGGTCACTGCTGAACCTTGAACTTCAAAGGGAATTTCTACAGGCACGTAGCAGGGGTGTCTCACCTGAACAGAAAGGGAGAGTTAAATAATTACAGGAATCAACAGTTGCTGGCGTTGGATATGACACACATTGAGAGAGCATGATGACAATATAACTAGAATATTCTTGCACTGGAACCCATAGATCAAAGAGCAATAGACAGATTGGGAAAAAAAAAAACTTTAAGAAAAAGAATTATTGACAGGTGAAAAAGACAGGAAAGAGTTGGGGTAAACTGTATGCAGTAACACAGGAGAAAGAGATGGGGTAAACTGTATGCAGTAACACAGGAGAAAGAGATGGGGTAAACTGTATGCAGTAACACAGGAGAAAGAGATGGGGTAAACTGTATGCAGTAACACAGGAGAAAGAGATGGGGTAAACTGTATGCAGTAACACAGGAGAAAGAGATGGGGTAAACTGTATGCAGTAACACAGGAGAAAGAGTTGGGGTAAACTGTATGCAGTAACACAGGAGAAAGAGTTGGGGTAAACTGTATGCAGTAACACAGGATGAATTGGTGTGGCTGTAGGCCTATGCTCCAGTGGTGGATAAATGGCAGAAGAAGTTGGATCCATTGCAACTTTTTATCTTCCAAGACAATGATGAAATATGTGGGGCAGGGATCAAGCTTCTCTCCACAGTACACATGCTGGGCAGTATTGTACAGACCATGTGTTGGTTATCCAGCATGATGCCTATCTCAGCCTGCTTTGTTTGCTTCAATAAAAAAGTAACACCATTACATCTGGAACAAAGCAGGCTGCTGAAGTTGATGGATCAGAAAAGCAGTGATCTGCCTGGCTGCCGGTCCTCCTAGACCAGATGGCAATCAAGGCAAAGCGTTTGGTCTGCCGTGTGATAACATTAAGTTTTTAGGTGGCATTTTCTCTTCCTAGGATAAGGCTAGTAACATCCCTAATGCGGTACTTCTAAGCAGAATCCTGATAATATTTTGGCCAAACAAGATCACAGATGACAAACGACTGACAAGGAAAACAAAATGTATGCCATTGATAAATGTAATCAAAGGAAAAAGATGAAGAAGACTGGACATGCAGAATGCCCCACGACACTTTGACACAGACAGCTCTCCAAAGGCAGCAGATAAAAACTAACCACCCACTTAAGAAAACCTGGAGAAGGAAGTCGAAAAGAAAATGAAGGAGTGTGAACTAAGAAGTTACCATTGTCAGAAAAGAAGCAGACTGGCAGCAAATGAGATTATTTGTGAATGCCTTGTCAACAACAATATAAAGAGGATGGATGTAGACAGACAGAACTACAGCTTTTGGTTTCATGTTGTCTAGTGTGTCCTCTTATCTTTACTTCTTCCCTTTGCATCTTTGAGTGTCAATCACTGCAGGTCAGTTTGTTTATCATAGGGGCTTTTGACATCCAACATGATCTGAATATCTTTCAGAGAAATAGCGAACCTACCAAAAACAAAAAAACAAAAACCCAGATAAGACACAGATGTATTGCTCTCAGCTCTGAAATGTTTCCACCTTGATGAGGTAGTCAGACTTGGGTTCCAGTGACCCCAGGAATATGCATAAGATAACTTAGTCTTTCATGTTGGAGAGTCAAGAAACAAGAGATCAGATGAAAGCAGACCTTGCTTGTAGGTAGACTCAGGACAGTGAAAGGCTGGGGACAGTGAAAGGCTGGGGACAGTGAAAGGCTGGGGACAGTGAAAGGCTGGGGATAGTGAAAGGCTGGGAAAAGTCAAAGGCTGGGACAGTGAAAGGCTGGGGATAGTCAAAGGCTGGGGATAGTCAAAGGCTGGGACAGTGAAAGGCTGGGGATAGTCAAAGGCTGGGGATAGTCAAAGGCTGGGAAAAGTCAAAGGCTGGGGACAGTCAAAGGCTGGGAACAGTCAAAGGCTGGGGACTGTAAAAGGCTGGGAAAAGCAATCAGGCTTGATGACACACTGTAACATGTCTTACTAGTGACAACATCAGGATAATGTCCTGCCTTTTAGACTGTGCCCAGAGATATTAGGTTCAAACCCACATCCAGTCATGTGCTTTTTTGTTTCTCAAAACAGTAACTCGGCCACCAGGCTGATCCAGTGTACCAGCTGAAGTCCTGGGAAGTAAAGGCAGCCTGCATGATGTTGACCACATTACCTGTCTACTGCCAATTGGTTTATACAAAAATGAGTTTAGCATCATATGCCCAATGGGTCACTGGCACAAAAAGGTGCTCTAATTACTTTCAGACAGTCAAGATTACTACTAGTTTAAAAAAACATTCAACCTACCAGCAAAACATATTCCCCTGGCAACAGAAGCTTGAAATATTCTCCATATTTTGTTGACTTGAATTGAATTGACTCCCGCCCTTTCACCATCACTGTTGCACCTTCTAAAGGTAGAAACAGGCTGTCACTGTACTGTGACTGACCAAAGATAAGGCCTTTCACTCCTAGAAAACAGCAGCAACAATTATATTTAGGAGATAGTCATCATCATCATTCTTCTTCTTTTCTGCTATTTATCCTTAGTCAAGTCATTCTGTTCTTTGCAGTCGTATGCGGCTTGACCCACACCTTTCTCATTTTATTTACCTCAGTCCCTGTGGAAACCATGTTGTGTTTTGTGTGTGTGTGTGGATGTTCCCTACCTGAAGGTCATGGGTTGAAATCTGCATTGAGCCTTACTGTTTTACAGCAATTTGTTAGGATCCTAGATAGACCCGGCCTCAAATGGGATAAAGTACTGGGCAAGTAAAGGCATGGACTAGATCATCCACCAGTTGGTCTATAAAATATAGGTCTAGCACTACAAACCCTGGTGAAATACCTTATATAATAATTCTACGTGTGTATAGTAACCAACTTTTCGTGCCTGACTACTTCCACCAGTGACAAACTGCATTTCTGGTGGCTATTGTTGGCTTTGGTGCCTCTTGAAACTGAAACACATGTTTTCTGTGTGCGCATATTTCTGGATTGTTCCAGGACTAATCGTCTGTTAACCAATTTTTCAAATACAACATTGATAGACATTTGATTTCATTTGAACTGGAGAAGGAACAGAGCAAGCATGGGGAAAACCCAATTGCAGTGAAGCTGAAACCTCGACTAAGACTGAGACTAAAACTATATACCCAATATGCTTAACATTATGGAAGCAAGTCCTTTACCCGACCTCACCACACAAAACTTCCAAAGACACTAGTTAATGCACATTTCCATTCATTTCTTGGCTGCAGCTAACCTTCTTGTGACAATGGCTCCCAATTTATTAACTCTTTTGGTAAGAGAAGGTTTTAAAAGAGATGCCAAAGTCATGAAATGGCAACGATGACAAGTGGTTAATGCATTACTTTCAAAGTGGCAATATACACAATGATAATTACCAGTAGTGAAGCCAGAATAGTCCCAGTGCCGAAAGGGCATTTGTAAATGGCAACAAAACAAGGATTTGGTGAAATCAGACACGCTGGGCCAAACAGTGCAGATATTGCAGCCAAGCCGTAAAAAGTCTACAATACAAGATACCAAGAGAACTGTCGACCCCTGATGTGGGCAGTTTAGAAGAATACGGGTGCTTCTGTAGAGGTTAATTTTGTTTTTTTTTGTAGCGTATTCACAAGATCTTCTCTTTTTCTTCACTTCTTCTTTTACCTCTTCCGGTGTCAAGGCAGATATGTTTGTGTCATACCAACATAGTGCAACTGGTCTTAATAAAGATATAAATGATACCCATGTTTGCGGTTTTGGCAAACGCAGAAAAAAAAAAAAGAAGATAAAGCAGTCTACCACAGGCTTTGTATATACACTGGTTGAATGTATTTGCTCCATCCAGAGATGAAAGACACAAGAGAAAGCAAGAAATAATTATGACTGATTCCATTCTTATCTTCTTCTCCTTCCCTAGTCCTGTTCTGCATTTCAGAATAAAGTTTTAGAGAGTTACGTTATGTTATATTATGTTATGTTATGCTAGTTTCAGCTTCATAGAAAATGGGTCACCCACCAGTTGCTCCGTTTCTGTACCAATGAAAAACACACAGAATGTTCACCACAGTCCCTTGTGGAGAGATTGACAGACTGATGTATCAGCATTTGCAATAGCATACACACACATTAAAAGCATACAGTAGCCATCAAAAGTGCTAACACAAACAGTCTGACATTAGAAATGCAGTTCATCATCGATGGTAGCAGAGGTAACCAATAAATCAGCAGTTGCACACACGATCAATGTTAATCACATAAGGGCACCACCAATATTGTGACGACAGGCCATAGGCCATTTTCTGAATCAACAATTCACAACACAGCACCACGTTGGTCACAGTCGAAAAACATTCCAAATGAAATCCGCAGCTCACGGGGTCGCACCATGCACTCAACTCAGTAGCTGGGCGACAAAACTATATCCTTAAATGGAGCAAAAATGCAACGGCCACCGTCTGGCAGAAAAAACTTTGCCATGACTCAAAACAGTGGCCATAAAGCCCACTGAGAGAGTGCGAGCCGTAGTATGCAGATGCTGGTATTTATGGCCTCCGATATTCCATCTATCCATTGCCAGCATGGTTGACCTCCAGTTCTGCTTCCATTAAGTCTGAATGACAGGGCTTCCTGTGGTGCACTGTCTGTTGGTAAGTCTTGACACATGTCTGAACCATTCGATCTGCTGTCAGATCATTTCCTGTAAGCTGTGGTAAATGCACTTGCCTACCGAAACAGTGATCTAAGTTTATTTCCCAGTAGAGATTGGGAAGGGGGGGGATATGTGTGTGCATGTGTGCGCACAAGGGGGGAGAGGGGGTGCTGCTGCGGCTAAGTGTCATTTACCTCCTGCTCTGTAGGCTGACTGATTTCCTAGACTGCATCATTTGGTTCTGACATTCAATTTTTATGAAGATATGTGGGGATAGGTGTTGGAGCTACAGAGTTTGTGCAACACTCTGACCAAGTGGCTAGCCCTTTTGCTGGAGTGAGACTGAACCATACATACTGTACCCAGTGCAGTGAAGGTGATCCTCCTGACTTCACACCTTTAGAGGCAGTATTTTGTTTTGTTCACCTGGCCTCTTCCTTTTCTTTGTGTTCACTGGCTTTAAACTCCGGTGCATTGTTCTGGCTGTTGGTTCAATTTGGGACATCGGTCTACTTCCAGAACTTAGGTTTTGTGTGTTCATCAATTTTAGATAAATATGCAGACCGTTGGTTCCTTGCCATCACCCCAGAACCTGCAAAGGAGGACCTAGCCTTTTAAGGACAGGAAATCATCTCCCACGTTGCATGCCTAGAAAATGTGAAGGCTAACATTTCACAGTAAGTGTTGTGGGACTACCTCTGGCGTATGCACACCCAAGGATCCTCATAGTTCTAGAGAGTTCATGCACTGTGCTGCCCCCCACTTAGTGTGATCCATGGGAAAAGACCAGAGTACACATGATGGTATCAAGCAATCCTGTGTGTGGTAATCTTAGTTCCAGCTTCATAGCAAACAGGTCACCCCATAGTTGCTCCACTCCTGTGCCAACAAAAAACACACAGAATGTTGTTCACAGTCCCTTGTGGAAAGATCGATAAAATGCTGTCTCAGCATATACACTAGCATACATACGCATATGGTAGCCATCAGAAGTGCTAACACAAACAGTTTAACATTAGAAATGCAGTTCATCATTGACGGCAGCAGAAGTTACCAACACATCAGCAGTTGCACACGCGATCAATATTAATTACATAAGGGCACCACCAATATTGCGGCGACAGGCCATGAGCCATTTTCTGAATCTACAGTTCACAACACCACGTTGGTCACAGTCGAAAAACATTCCAAAAGAAATCCACAGCTCACAGGGTCGCGCCATGCATTCAACTCAGTAGCTGGCACGACAAAACTATATCCTTTCAGTCTACAAATGGATCCAAAATGGAACGGCCACCGTCTGGCAGAAGCACAAAATTCGCCCCGACGCGAAACAGTGACCATGCCCTGCATCCATTTTGACCGGATCCATCTTGTGTATATTTAGCACATGACATGTGTATGGTGTGAGTAAATGAGAGGTGCGGTGGAGAATAGCAGAGAAAGAATGACAGAGATATAGATAGAAAGACTGACAAAAAGAGAGAGAGAGAGAGAGAGAGAGAGAGAGAGAGAGAGAGAGAGAGAGAGAGAGAGAGAGAGAGAGAGAGAGAGAGAGAGAGAATAGATAAGGAGACACATAAATAATTGAGAGTGCGGTCGAATACACATACCCATATGAACTGCAAACATAAGGTTTATGAGTGCATCCCTGTGTCTCTCCCAGAAGCCTCTTAACATCTGTGCTCTAGGATATTTACAGCAGGACAACTCCACCAGAACCTGGTAACCACTGGCATTCTTGTACAAATAATCTTGCATTCCTCCTGCAGGCAGGATCAATAATATACATCAACTGTTGTAATCAGAGTCACAAATTCACTTATTCTGTAACAACCAGCTCATAATACTTTAATGCTTCTTATTCCCTCTGTGGATTTCAGGCCTCGGTTTTGAAGAAAACAGAATAGACACACTGTTCCCTAACAAGAGATCTCCTAGGTCACATCTATTCAAATGGTGGCCCACAAATCATTGTCAACTGCACTGTATTAACATTCTTTCTTTGCCTGTGCTTAGGCCTCTGACCCGTGACAACTCCAACTTTTGCAATTTTGGCTCCTGAGTAAACAGCTAAAATGTCCTGTCCAAGGTGATATCTGTCTCTAAAAAAATCTCCACTAAGTGATTTTTGTCTCTAAAAAATCTCCATTAAGTGATGTCTGTCTCTAAAAAATCTCCACTAAGTGATGTCTGCCTCTGAAAAATCTCCATTAAGGGATGTCTGTCTCTAAAAAATCTCCATTAAGTGATGTCTGTCTCTAAAAAAATCTCCACTAAGCGATGTCTGTCTCTAAAAAATCTCCACTAAGTGATGTCTGTCTCTAAAAAATCTCCACTAAGTGATGTCTGTCTCTAAAAAATCTCCACTAAGTGATGTCTGTCTCTAAAAAATCTCCACAAAGCATGTCTTATAAGAGATCACCTTAGCTGTGCTCATCTTGACAAGAATTCTTCAGACTTCCACACATAAGATGTTTATAGCAGTCAGCTGAACACATAGGATCTTTACAGTAATTACTTGAATAGTCAACATTACAAAGTCTCCTGTGGATACACAGGTTATGCAGGAGTGTGAGGGAATAAAAGAGTGGCATTTCTGGCTACAAAAGTGAAAGCTGCAGGAACACTCATACTGGACAAGTTGGAATCAAATCTTGAATCTTGAAGAAAATATTATACAGGGAAGGAGTTGTACAGATGCAATATTTTCTTTAAGGCTACTGAATATGATAAAAGTCAACATCTTATATTTATAAGAGAAGGCATTCGATCGAGTCAACAGATGCAAACTATGGAAAATTCTAGAAGATTATGGTATTCAAAATCAACTGTTGGGAAACATCATGGCTCTTTACCAGGATAGTCAGTACACAGTAAAAACAACAGAAGAAATGACAGACTGGTTTCCCTTCTCATCATGCATCAGACAGGGATGTGCCTTCTCACCATTGCTATTCACTACTCATATGGATAGAATAAAATAGGAGGCAAATACAGACACTGAAACAAATCAATGAGCTTCTTTTTGCAGATAAGCAATGTCTAATACACCACCAAGAACAGAATTTACAACATCATATTGACTCCTTACATTAAACCTGCAGACAGTATGATATGAGAAAAAACACTGCACAAAGTGAGGTAATGAGGCTAGGCAGGAAACATAATGCCAGGAACGTCTGTGTTAACGGTATTATTGTCAAACAAGTGCTAACATCAAACAAGTACGAGAATTCAAATATCTAGGAAGCATATTTACAGAGGATGACAAACTAAACAGAGAGATAGAAGCCAGAGCACAGAAGGCAAATGCTGTCACCTACCAGTTGGTCCGATTCCAGCAAAACAGCAAATGACTAGTAGCATATTGCTACATTATATTATGAGTGCTGAACATGGGCAATGAAAAAGGAACTAGAACAGAAAATAACTACATATGAAATGAGCTGTCTCTGCAAGGTCACTAACGACACTAGATGAGACAGGGTTTCGAATTTCAGCATTAGAAAGTTGGAACAAGACCATGTCTGGATTATATTGAGAGACAAAGAATAAAATGGTTCAGCCATCTAGTGAGAATGTCTATAAGACTTTTTAACAGTAGAGCTGCTGGGAGGAAGGCGAGAGGAAGACCAAGAAAGAGATGGATAAATGGTGTAGCTGGAATCTGCAAAAAAATTAACAAATCCATCAATCAAGCCACCCAAGAAGTGCAAGACAAATACACAAAACCATGACACTGGGCTACAACCTGGTATCAGTGAGATGACAAAACCATGACACTGGCCTACAACCTGGTAACAGTGAGATGACAAAACCATGACACTGGCCTACAACCTGGTATCAGTGAGACGACAAAACCATGACACTGGCCTACAACCTGGTAACAGTGAGATGACAAAACCATGACACTGGCCTACAACCTGGTATCAATGAGACGACAAAACCATGACACTGGCCTACAACCTGGTAACAGTGAGATGACAAAACCATGACACTGGCCTACAACCTGGTATCAGTGAGATGACAAAACCATGACACTGGCCTACAACCTGGTATCAATGAGACGACAAAACCATGACACTGGCCTACAACCTGGTAACAGTGAGATGACAAAAGAAGAAGAAGAGGAATCAAATCTAGATCCAATAAGAAAGGGTGTATGAGAGGAAGAGTGAAATGTGTGTACAACATGTGTGCTATTAGAACAGTTAACATCTACATCTAAAGACAACTGCTGTGGGAGACAGAGCATCTATGGGTATACCTGGTGGGCTGTGATGTTGCTTCTTAACTCTTTAGTCCCAAGGAACGCATCATACGTTCACAGGTTCCTACCTAGAAGCCCAATGAACGCATGATGTGCCGAGTTTATTACTTTCTTTACTAACCCCTAGACCTGTGATGCTAAACCCTCTTGGGACTCAAAGAGTTAAATCAGTAATCCAGGAAGTTAACCCTGTCAACAAATGCTCAATGAATTAGGATGTGTTTGCCGAAAGGTGCAAATACTGCAGCTATGTTGTAAACAGCCACAAGACAATTGCATCACTTTGACAACAAAGAGAAGAAGTCAGTAATCAGTACTTGAACAGTTATCACACTCACCATAAACTGGATACCAATCAGCTCCATTTGTTATCCCATCTTCAAAACTGTCCCCACAAGATGAGCCTAAATGCATGGTTGGATGTGTGCGGGAATATATCAGGGATAACTGCCTGAAAACATCATCATCAGGACTTTTAGAGTATCTCCGACTATTAACTGAAGAGAGACAAGAGTAGGTGTGTAAATTATAGTTGAAATGAAACAAACAATGGAACAGTTATCTGTAGGCTCCTGACAGGGCGGGCCCAGCGGTCTTAGAGCACACTTACACAAATTAGGCTTCAAAAAAAAAAAGTGGTGAGCAGACACAGACTGCCAATGATGCTAGCAGGACTGCCCTATATTCTTCAGGTAGTGGTTGGTGATCTGTCCCATGGAGAGCAGACACAGACTGCCAATGATGCTAGCAGGACTGCCCTATATTCTTCAGGTAGCGGTTGGTGATCTGGCCCATGGAGAGCAGACACAGACTGCCAATGATGCTAGCAGGACTGCCCTATATTCTTCAGGTAGTGGTTGGTGATCTGTCCCATGGAGAGCAGACACAGACTGCCAATGATGCTAGCAGGACTGCCCTATATTCTTCAGGTAGTGGTTGGTGATCTGGCCCATGGAGAGCAGACACAGACTGCCAGTGATGCCAGCAGGACTGCCCTATATTCTTCAGGTAGCGGTTGGTGATCTGGCCCATGGTGAGCAGACACAGACTGCCAGTGATGCCAGCAGGACTGCCCTATATTCTTCAGGTAGCGGTTGGTGATCTGGCGCATGGTGAGCAGACACAGACTGCTAGTGATGCCAGCAGGACTGCCCTGTATTCTTCAGGTAGCGGTTGGTGATCTGGCCCATGGTGAGCAGACACAGACTCCCAGTGATGCCAGCAGGACTGCCCTATATTCTTCAGGTAGCGGTTGGTGATCTGGCTCATGGGAGCTACATCACAAGACAAGCTATAGAAGACATTGTAACATACTGTCTTGTTTGTGACCCAGATAGGTCTGATGTCTAATGACAGTGATGCAGCAAGGAGTGACAAGGGGATCACCTGGCCGAGACTGGATGCTTAGAGGAAAGGCAAGATGGGCATATAATTAGCAGACTGCTACTGGCACCATTGGTACTGGAACTCTACGCTGGCTGCTGAAGGTGGGGACGAAGTGCTCATGGTAATGTCCCAAAAGTTGTAATATCAGTTCTTGGACCAACTCAATTTAACTAGGACTGAATGTTAAGCATGAATGGTGAAGAACACAGGACATGAAGAAGAGGCAAGTAAATATATTTCAGAAAGTTTCTGCCTATCTGCAGCCTCTCATACTCTGCTACACAAAACTGCAACCACTTCCTGTATGAAATGCTATGGGAGATACAAGGATCTTCCGTTGGTGTTACAAGTTGGTTACAATTTCTCTAAGGTTGTTCTTGATATTGTTGTACCCCATGTGGGTTAGTGGGGCCCTATGTTGGGGGGAAAGGATTAGATACTGTTGTATCCCATGTGGGTAAGTGGGGCCCGATGTTGGGGGGAAAGGATTAGATATTGTTGTACCCCATGTGGGTTAGTGGGGCCCCATGTTGGGGGGAAAGGATTAGATACTGTTGTATCCCATGTGGGTTAGTGGGGCCCAATGTTGGGGGGAAAGGATCAGATACTGTTGTACCCCATGTGGGTTAGTGGGGCCCTATGTTGGGGGGAAAGGATCAGATACTGGCCCTTAACAGGCATACTGAAAAACGTGACTAATTAGAGATCTGCTGAAATAGAGATGAAAGAGGCTGATATCAAAACCTAGCTGTCAACCACAACACAATATGTTTCTTCCTTTTTATGGGTGAACAAAGAAGAAGAAGACCATCTTCTGCATCGTCTTTCCTTTGCTCTAGGCTTATATTTTATTTCTTCAGTTTGACTCTCTGTGGTAGCTGGTGTCACGCTATTTTTGTCAAGTGGCCAAACCCTGTAAAGCTAGTGTTATATAATAAACTCTGTTAGTGGTATTGGTTTAAGTCTTCTTCTATCATTTATTGGACGTCAAGACTACCATCAGATAGTGCAACCAAAAGAGATAGCCCACGGTGTATGAGATGTTCAATATATGGAAGTGAGGTTAAACAGTCATGAGCAGGACGTGATGATTCCTTGGGTGAGCCCAGTACCAGAGCACCATGTATTAGCTCTGCATTTGTGGATGCCTCCTTGGATGGCGGGGAATGCTTATGTTCTGCCCCTGCCTTCTTTTGAGGGCTGATCAGCATTATGTGGCCTCTCTGGACCAGCCTGATTGGGGCACCACCTGTGACCTTGGAAATAAAAATGACCACCCAACAATGAGACTGCCATGTCCCCAGAAACTAACCGGAAAGGCTAACACAGTCAACAAATGCCCGCAGAAGTCGGTTGTGTTGGCCGAAAGGTGCAAATATCGCAGCTACGCTGTAAATGGACACAACACAATTACATCTTCGGATGAAACGCAGAAGAAGAAGATGGTGCAACACAGAGAGCCGTGTCACTCAAGACATAATGGAAGCACAGTCAGAGGTCGACCACGCAAGTGATGCATAGGTGGAATATCTGAAGCTCTAAATACTTACATTTACAGCAATAAACAATCATAAACATAAACATAAACATAAACATAAACATAAACATAAACATAAACATAAACATAGCATATACCAATGCTCGAGGAGCAGCTGGTCAAATGGATTAAAAACAAAGGCTCTGACACAGGAAACCAGGGTTTGAATCCTTACTAAGGCTGGGAATATTTGTTTCTCTCCCCTAAAGATCCTAACTTACAAAGTCAATGAAGACAGCACCAGCACCCTAAATCCACAGGCTCAAAGAACTGCCTGCCTACAACACTAAACTGGTATTTACAGACAGTACAAGAAACACAACAAATAAGTAAGGCTTGCCCCTGATGGCTCTTCAAAACCTGATATTGAAAGACAGAATAGGACTAGGGAAAAAATACATTAAAGGTAGTTTTCTATGTGTTAAGGGAGACAACCCAAAATGCATGTATAAATTAGGATAAGTTAAATAATTTTTAGTCTTCTTCTTTTTCCTAGCTTTCACCCGCTGTAAACTCCTACGGAAATTTTTAGATGTTTGTCCACTTCTGGACTTTGGTTTTGTTCCAGAACTTGTGTTTTTTGTGAATATTCATTTTTCTGATCTGGCTTATTTATATGCAGCCTGTTTGTTACTTGCCTCTCAAGCTGATGTACTCTGACTTCAAAGGAAATACCCCAATTGCGACAGGCCTAGCAATCCGGCAATGGATTTATTATCACTACAGAAAACACAATGAGATATAAATGGACTGACCTATGGTCAAGGCGGCCAGAAGAGCTTCCCTTGACACCCACAACGGTGAAGGAGGAAGTGAAGAAGAAGAAGAAGAATAACATGCTTTGGGGGGGGGGGGGGGAGAGGCAGTGGGTCTATTCCCCCCCTCCCCCAACCTCCTTTTAAAATGGGGCTCCGGAACCCATACAGGGATAATAATTAGGGAAGACGAGAGATGTATGACAGAAAAGTCTGGGATGTGACTAAAAAGCAAAGAGGTGTGACAAAACAAAAATGGAAATGTGATGAATAAGCAGATAAGTAAGTAATCATAACACAAGATCAGAGAAGAGCAAACAGATGTGACAATTGAATTGAGCAAAGTGATGTGATAAAGAACAAACAAAAAAGCAAAGTGACAGATGAAAGAGCAAACATATGTGACAAATGAGCACAGCCTTACGATAAAAAAGCAGTGATATAATTTGAAAAAAAAAAAAAAAAAAGCAAAGTGATGTGATGAAAGAGCAAAAAGATGTGATAAATGAGTAAAGAGATAACATTAATGAGCAAAGACATGCTTTCAAAGAGCAAAATGATGTGAAATAATAACATACAAATCAAACAAGTCAAAAGGTTATGGTAGAAAAGCAAGTGATGAGACAACTAGGAAAATGTTATGATAAACAAATGATAGGATTTGATAAAAGAGTAAACAAGTGTAAAACAAGCAAAAGTAACATATGAAAGAGCACCAAAAAAAAAAAAAACAACAACAACATATGTGTCGAAGAAATGTAATTAAATAGATACGTAGCCATTACAGACAGTGAAATGCTTGAGGTTTATGTAAAATGGTATTACCTCCAGGGAAGGAGTCAAAAGGGTAGTTGACAACCAGAGCCCCACCGTGCAGGTTCACAGAGAGGACAAAGTGTGTGGAATGTAACCAGTCTCTAACCAGGTGAGTTTCTTTTTGCTCTGGGTCCGCAAATTTGGATAATTCATCAGGAAAGTTGCGATTCAGGTCATAACCCAACGCATTGGCTCTGAAAACAGGAAATGAACAAGATTAAAACTCAGTAAAAGCCTTCTTCCTCCTACTTCTTCTTCTTCTTCCTCCTCTCCTTCAGTGATAAAACTGTATGGTTTTTTCCACTGGCTTTCCTAATTTGTCTCTAGATCTTTCAGTTTTTTGCATAAACTGTGACTAGGAAAAAGCTCAATGAAAGGAACGAGAAATATGTGCACAAATACAACCTGTTTCCACTAAACAAACTACTATCTAGAAGATAAAATGTGATTAAAAATCTAAACAAACAAGACAAGACAGCTTATAAATACTCCAGATGAGCCCGAAAACCTTGTTTCCCTGTTCACTTTAGCAATTTATAAGCTCAGTGGATTTCATGTTGATCTTGGTTTTTTAAAAACACAGTTGCATAATCAGGCAGCTGATGAAACATCTGGCTGTACTTATACTCATCTTTTCCATTCCTTTCCTGTGAGCTTTCCGGTCTCAGTTTGTGTGACTTCTTGATATTAGCCTAACTACAGGCACTCCTATTTATGTCATTTGAACACATCCTAAATCAAGTAAGGTTTGTCTCCAATAGAAAGTACATGCCTTAATTATTTATGAAACATCTGCTTTCTCCAAATACAAAGTATTATAAAGTTTGTCCTTCTGATTACGGATCCATACAATCTTGAATTTCTTCCTTTTTTTTACACAGTCTCACATTACTGGTCTAGATGTACCAGGAATAATCTTCAAACAAAAGAAAAGAGTCAGAACAAACAGCTCTTTCACTCTATATGCTCAGAAATCAGTATCTCTTTAATTTTTGGACATGTGTTTTCACAGATGGTTTCATTGCACATGAAAACACAAAGATAGCTATGTGAGAATCTTGCACTTCACCGCAGAAACAACTGAACTGTGCAGATCCTCAACAATCGAGCAGAAGTGAATAATAAAACCACCACATTCACTGACCTAAAAGAGGTCCATCACGCCATCTAGTGCTCAAACAGGACAGCATCATCTATGAAATCAAGAACATTGGACTGCTGTCTACAAGAACTCAACTAGTCTCTTAGTGGACACTGGCCCACTGTGGTAACCCTGGAAACGAAAAGGCAAACAAGCTTGCAAAGATGGTTGGAAACCTAGAGCAGCCTTACCCACCTCTGAGCTTTAAACAGGCAAAGACACACTTAAAACAGTCCATGAAAACAAAACTGGAGATAGGAGAATAACGATTACAGACAAAAGCATGACAGTATAATCAGGCCAGGCTGAAATGCTCAAACCAACATTCTCAGACTCACAGCAGAACACTGTAAACCCAAAGCGCACCTACATCAAATGTGTCTTGCTAACTCTGCAGCATATCGTTGTGGCTTGTCAGAGTATGTCTTACCTAAAAGATGAGTGTCTGAAGTGTCAAAAGCAAGATGAGCCTGTGTGCCCATTTTGTGACCCTCTGGGAAAAAAAATGTGTATATTTGTCATTACCTAGACTATCTTCCCATAAAGTCATCACAGCTCACTCCTCAACTCCTCCAATAAAAACAGCTAGAAGCATCTTTTCATACGATTTTATAAAGGAATCACAACTGCACTCCACTGACAACAGCTAACTTACCTTCCAATGAGACCATCACAACTACCCTCCAGGGACAACAGCTAACTGACCTTCCAATGAGACCATCACAACTACCCTCCACTGACAACAGCTAACTGACCTTCCGAAGAGACCATCACAACTACCCTCCACTGACAACAGCTAACTGACCTTCCGATGAGACCATCACAACTACCCTCCACTGACAACAGTTAACTGACCTTCCGATGAGACCATCACAACTACCCTCCAGGGACAACAGCTAACTGACCTTCTGATGAGACCATCACAACTACCCTCCACTGACAACAGCTAACTTACCTTCCAATGAGACCATCACAACTACCCTCCACTGACAACAGCTAACTGACCTTCCGATGAGACCATCACAACTACCCTCCACTGACAACAGCTAACTGACCTTCCGATGAGACCATCACAACTACCCTCCACTGACAACAGCTAACTGACCTTCCGATGAGACCATCACAACTACCCTCCACTGACAACAGCTAACTGACCTTCCGATGAGACCATCACAACTACCCTCCACTGACAACAGCTAACTGACCTTCCGATGAGACCATCACAACTACCCTCCACTGACAACAGCTAACTGACCTTCCGATGAGACCATCACAACTACCCTCCACTGACAACAGCTAACTGACCTTCCGATGAGACCATCACAACTACCCTCCACTGACAACAGCTAACTGACCTTCCGATGAGACCATCACAACTACCCTCCACTGACAACAGCTAACTGACCTTCCGATGAGACCATCACAACTACCCTCCACTGACAACAGCTAACTTACCTTCCGATGAGACCATCACAACTACCCTCCACTGACAACAGCTAACTGACCTTCCGATGAGACCATCACAACTACCCTCCACTGACATCTCATAACCGTCAGGATTCATTGTGGGCATAATATGGACATGAGTTGTGTTGAGGAACCGTGTTAAGCTCTCATTCTTTCCATACTCCAGCAGCAAATGCTCGGCCAGATGGAGCACCAACTCCCTGCCAACCACCTGGAAACAGAAGCAACCACTTTACAGCATTTGTTACACTAGACTGTACCATGCTAAACTGGTTTGTTACACTAGACTTTACCATGTTAAACTGGTTTGTTACACTAGACTGTACCATGCTAAGCTGGTTTGTTACACTAGACTGTACCATGCTAAACTGGTTTGTTACACTAGACTTTACCATGTTAAACTGGTTTGTTACACTAGACTTTACCATGCTAAACTGGTTTGTTACACTAGACTGTACCATGCTAAACTGGTCTGTTACACTAGACTGTACCATGCTCAACTGGTGAAAGGTAAAGGTAAAGTCGGGAAATGTGAACCGGCATCATTGCATACGGTTATAAACCATAAGTGCTCTGCCACCAGTACAGACAGCTGATAAGAAACTGTCCGCCTGTGTCGCCGTTCGCACGTAACTCTGTAGCTACAGCGACGTTCCTTCATTTACCCTAGAGTGTCCCTCTGGTACCCATTTCCTAAAGGCTGGGAGAACCCCAGGAACCACCCGGTTTTAAACATCGACCGTGGCTGCAGCGAGTCGCAGCTGGATTTGAAAGTAAACCTCCTATCGACTGCGCTAACGCGGCTCAACTTTACCATGCTAAACTGGTTTGTTACACTAGACTTTACCATGCTAAACTGATTTCTTACACTAGACTTTAGCATGCTAAACTGATCTGTTACACTAGACTTTAGCATGCTAAACTGGTTTGTTACACTAGACTTTAGCATGCTAAACTGGTTTGTTACACTAGACTTTACCATGCTAAACTGGTTATTATGAGAAGAAGGAAACTGGAACATGTTGTGATCACTGTAAAGATCTTTGGAAAAGAGACAGAAGAAGACAACGAAGAGAAAATTTTTCACACCCGTCTGTCACAGCATGGAGGGGTGTTAGCACACGAACAGATACATACATGCTGTTAAAGATCACATGATCCCCAACGCCAGTTGACAAAACATTTGATGATGATGATTAAAATTAATTTGATCTTTAATAGAATCATACGCTTCCTTTCAATTTTTAATGAGATAATATCCTTTGAGTAAGCCACTGAAAATCATTCAATATGACACACTTAACATATGTGCTGTAGGTTACTAACGCCTGTCAGTACAGTATGAAATAAACAACTTTTGTCTTTCAACAGCTGTAGACATACAAATGTTAACAAAAATGCACACAAAGAATACAAACAATTGAGGAAAATTTCTTACCTCATTACCATGCATATTGGCAACCAATTTTACGTTTGGAATCAAAGGGTGATGCTGGGATGCATTCACACCTACAACAATCACCCACAAGTCTGCACCTGAGAAATATCATTTAAAAAAAAATTATCCAAATGATAATCTGAGATTAAAAAAATTGAATCTTTAAGTCTTACCAAGTATTAATAGCAAAGCCATCTAAATGAATTCAGTATCAAGTGTGAGAACTCGTATAATATGAAAATGACCATCGGAAAGAAAACACACACACACACACACACAGTCAGAATGATAGGTAATAGATGGACCGTGTTGTGTGGGGAGGGCATGTCAGGAAGGGAATGAGAGTGAAGGGAAAAAATGATTGCAGAAAAGATGAGAGCTGAGCGTCTGAGAAGAAACAGATTAAACACAAATGTCGATAACAAAGTTCCTGAAATCCCGTGCTATAAATGTGGAAGACTTTTCTTGACACGGGCGGGTCTTGCTAGTCACACTCGCCTTATTCTGTGAGTCGCATGTCTCCCCATAGCGCAATATAACACTATCGTCTGGAAAGACGGAAAGGTGCAAATCAAGGTAGACAACAAGAAACTATATCAATAATATAATTAACATATAGATGAAACCTCTTCCTCTTCTCTTCCACCTTTTACCTCAGCGAAGTGTCGGGGGGAGATGTAATGTTCGTTGATAAGCTCTGTCAAGAGCACTATTAAGACTGATGTTCATTTCTGTTAGGCTGTTCCTAATGCCATCACTCCATATTTTCCGAGGTCTTCCACTCGCTCTATACCCATTGTAACGTTTTATTGTGGCTCGCTGTGGTAGATAGTACCAGGGCATTCTTGTTTGGTGTCCAAACCACTTCGTTTGTTGTTCTTTGATGACCTGTAAGACTGGCTTTATTTCTAGCATTCGTCTGATTTCATGATTTCGTATTCTGTCTTTTCTTGAAACTCCTGCAGCTCTTCTAAGGCATTTCCTCTCTGTTGTCACAATTTTACGTTCATTGGAGGATGTAAGTGTCCACGTTTGGCATTGATAGCATAGTGTTGGCCAAAAAATAGTTCTGATAAGATTCACTTTAGTACTCCGAGTTATCTGCTTGTGTGACAACAGGGGAGATAGTTGACCCATTACTTGATTAGCTTTGGCACATCTGGAGCTAAATAGATGAAAGAAACCGATGAATTTTGGGTCGATTTTAATGTTAGATGGAAGAAAAGACGCAGAAATCAACGTCATCATTATCATGTGCATTGCTGACTGGCGTAGGCGATCATGCATCTCCACAATCTGCGATCCGCAACTGCATGGATCAGTTCATGTGTTGACACTCCTCCATGTCATGACAGAAGGTTGTCAAGAATCTTCTAGCACTATCTTCCTCTGTCTCTCTTTCTTCATATTTTTCCAGTCGTCACAACATGTTCCAGTTTTCCTTTCTCATAACATAACCAAAAATGATGACTGTATCTTTCTGATGTTTGTGATAAGTTGTCTTCCAGCCATCGCCTCTTTCAAAACATTTGGGTGGCTATTTTTAGCTGTCCCCAAGGATTCTGAGGATTTTTCTTTAAAAAACCACATCTCCTAGGCCTCAAGAAATTGCTCAGCTTGTGTATTAATTGTCCAGGATTTACAACCGTATGTTAAAACTGGCTCTCTTTAGCATGCGAGAATTCTGTTCCTACCCCCCCCCCCCCCTTCCCATGTCAGGGTGCACAAAATGTTCGTCATTTTATTAAACGCAGTTTCAGTCTGTACTATTATGTTCTTTATCTCTGCGATACATCTTTCATCAAATGTTATTTACTGTACTTAAATTTCTGCACTGGTCTTAAAAAACGCCTTTGAAATTGTATTATGCATTTAAGCGTAATTCTTTTCTGAAACATTACAATGAATACAGAAGAAGGGAAAGCCAAAATAAAAGATGAAACAACAGCACCAAGGGCAGCCTTACAGAAGAGAAGGCTACATTAAAAGACTCATAGGAAAGAGTACACTGAAAATACATTTTTTCCAACACTTCGCTGAGCTTTCTGTGGATGAAGAGCAGAAAAAATATTCAACAGTGAAAACACAGGTTTAAGTTGCTAGTTAAAAGGGTTAGGTTCAGGTAAAGCTCCCTAAAGTAGGTAACTTTTCATTCACAAGTTTGTTGGACTTGTGGACTTTCCTTAATGTTACAGGTGTGACCCGCTCTATTGTTTGCTTTACGTGTTGTCTTGCACTTACGTTTTCATTCCGAGAAATAGAATGCCTGTAAAATAGATTGCAGCACTCTTGGGGGGGGGGGGGGGGAAGGGGGTGTAAGGGACAGTTGTTCCATATATTTGGCGCGTTAAAAGCCCTGGCGTGCTGAAATATACAACACGCGATATCAACAGCATCGTAACCTTATGAGAGGGGACAGGGTCAGGAACCAATCAGAAGTGACCTAGTGTGTATATGGGCGGGGCGTGTGGAGATTAACGTTGCGTGTACCGTTAAAAGAAACAAGAGGTGTGCTAGAAGGATTCACTTTACTGGTTATCCTTTAATCCTCATTTTCTTCTTTCAGTTACTTCAGCGAAGTGTTTGAACGCCGTGGCGTAGCAGTTAGTCGCTCGCGTGTGGATCGGAAGGTAGTGGGTTTACTTCCTGGCAGAGATGGACTTTTTTCAAAAATGACCTTGACTCCCAGGTCAACCCAGTCTTAAGTGGGCACCGGGTACAAGTTGAGGCGGACGGCGTGGTGCTGACCAGATCACTCAACTTGTGACGATTGGTCTATACAAATACATTTCTAGCCCTATATGCCCTATACGCCTAAAGGCATGGAAAAGGGGACCTCTACTTTAAACTTTTTCAATAGGCATAAAAAAAAAAAAAAAAACCTGCAAAAAAACGTATTAGGATTTAAACGAATAGAAAGAAACGCGTTCATCAGTTGCAAATGGCGGCAGAAGATCCCGGTTGTCCGTCCACTTATGGACTGTTCCCACATTTGAGTGTTGCGTACTTAGCGGTTTTACAGATCTGACTTATTCGGTTCCTGGCCTCTCAGTTGCACTCCGACTTCAACAGAAACGCAGGGATCCCATCTACGTTAGCCAGGCCCCGGGTTGGGAACCCATTTGTAGGACGACCCCGAAGAGGTGAATCCTTCACCTTAAAGACAAGACTTGACCAGCCTGAACGCTTCTGTCTGGTGCATCAAAGTAAGGTTACACAACTATGGATGCCGATGAGAAGACCACGGGCACCGACTCAAAGAAATTATGGCCACGGGGACGGGGACGCTCGGCTACCTTATAACTGCGTAGGGAAAATATGCAACAAGTCTTGTCAAAATGCACAATAATAACAACAACGCCAGAGACAGCATTAAAAAAACCGACAGGACAGGATGGTTCAACCACTTATCACAATTTACCAACTACATTCTGACACACTGGAAACAATTTCACTTTGTCCGTCTTCCAAAGTTGTAGATTTTAAGCTGTAGGATCGACATGGTCAATAAGTCACCTGTTTTGGGGGGTGCCCAGTTGACCATGTTCTCAGTGCACTTGTTTCCATAGCGAGGCGCACACGCCTCTAGGCGGGTTGTGTCAGGGTAAGTTTGTCAATGTTTTTGGAGTGTTAAAAGCGCTGGCGTGCGGGAATATACAACACGCGCTATCAACGGTATCGCGGAACACGCATCTGACTTTGTGCGAAAGCCCCGGGGCTCAGGAACTACTAATCAGAAATGAGCTAGTGTGTATATGGGAGGAACCTGGGGAGACTAACGTTACGTGTTCCCATCAGTCAAAGGCAACAAGGGGAAATACAGAAGAATGAGCATGGGCTCTGAAAGTAACAGACGAAGACAATGAATAGAACGGAAAAAAGGGGTAGGGGATAAACAGAAAAAAAGAAGTAGGAAGAGGAGGAAGAGGGAGATGAGGGAAGTAAATGGAGTGACAGATCAAGAAAAAGGACCAGGTAGAGAAAAGAGAGGAGGAATAATAGTAGTAGAGCTATAAAGGCAGCAGAAGTTTTACTACTACTACTACTACTACCACCACTAATGCAGCTGCTACTATTACTACTACTGCTGCTGCTTCTTCTTATGCTGCTGCTACTACTAGTATTAGTACAAAATCAACTACTACTATTACTACAGCTGACGCTACTGCTAACGCTGCTGCTACTATTTCGGTCAGTTCGCTGTCGGTTCCCATATTTGTTCTTTTGCCAAAATTTGAATTTCCGCTAGCGAATCCAATACAGCAGGCTGGTCAAACTAAAGGCACCCTGAAGGCCATATGAATCCATTTGTATTATCATAAAGGCCGCAAACAAAATCTAATTGGAGTCATGTAATACAACTGAGTGCACTACTACAGTAGTAGTAGTCGTGCAAATGGAGCTAAACAGGGACAGCAGTGGTGGTGGCAAGAAGAAGAAGAACAAATAAAAGAAGAAGAAGAAGAAGATTATGAAAAAAAAGAAGAAGATCATACTCATGATCGCTCCTAAACGAGAATCTCACTCAGCACTGACCTCTCACACTTTTTCCTATAGAGTACATATCTGTCAGATGTGGAAATTCTATAGTCAAATTCCTCATTATATTCTCTATGTCCCGTTGATTGTGATGCCTGAAGTCAAGTGCGGCCACGTTGATGACCGTCAGCATCTTTAGCAACACCAGCAGCAGCATCAACTGCGCCCCTATGTTGACACACTTCAGGCGCGACATTCCTGTCTGAAACAATAAAAACCATAAAACTTTTATAAGAACAGTATTTAGATACAGTTTGTTGGGTGCTTTATTAATATCTTACCCCAAATATGGGAAATCCACAGGTCACGGAACACTCTAATATTTCAAGGGGTAGTAGATAGGTTGCATGCAGTCGTGAGACATAGGCTGCACTCTCTCGTGGGACGTAGGGGGGTTGGGATTAGGGCCAGTTCTAGATGTTTTAGGGTCGTTAAAAGCATCAGAAAGCCGGGAAACCCTGTCTTACTGTCTGTCCTGTGAGGTCATCTGGGGTAGGATATTATTAAAGCACCCTTTGTTGTTTAAGCATTTATAATTCCAGTTACTCAGTGAGCTACTCAGAGGTTCGCATTAAACTCATTCGGTACCAAAGACGGCATCCTGAAATCATTCAATGTAAAAATGAAAGAAGAGATAGATCATAATCATAAACCACTTCTGCAGTTAAGCGTTGTGGGGAGGAATAATTTGCGATCCAGTGCACGCTGGCTGTCACTGGCTATTGTCATGCAGTGAAGGCGTAGAGTGTCTTTAATGTTGTCGATCCATGTTTTCCGCGGCCGGAGATAGATCACAGATGTAATAGTGCAAATCAAATCATTAGGGAAAAATCGAAACAACAGAAATGAAATATATTTATGGCGAATCCTAAATGTAATTAGAAGAGACAGGATCAGAAATGAGGATACCAGGAAAGAAATTAGGGCCAAACTGGTATTGAACTACATCAAGAGTCAAGGGATCAAATGGTTTGGACATATGTCAAGACTACCATCAGACAATGCACTACAGAGATACCTTTCACTTAGACAAAATGGAAACGCATCCAGAGGGTTGACTACGCAAGCCATGTATTGATAGTTAGTTGTTGTGTATCCTTTACAGGACGTTGCAGAACCCAACCTAGCATTTTTGGCTGTTCTGGTTTTTCTAGGCAAATTTACGTCCAGTAGTTTACCATTGCTTCCTGGACGGTCGGCTTTTCGATACCACTGCCGAAACCAATGCAAGGCCCGCAGCTGGGATCGAACCCGGCACCCCAGCATTACGACGAAGCGCGGTCGCACCGCCTAGGCCACAGACGCAAGCCATAGATAGGGCGGTAAACACCAGCATCTACGTTCTCCCCTGATGCCTCTTCACAATTCTGACACTGAATGCACAACAGGACTAGAGGAGCAGGAAAAGGAGGAGAAGAAGAATAAGAAGAAGGTGCAAAGAAAACACACCGAGCGCTTGTTAGTGTCACATGATATGGCAAACTTTTTTAGACTTTATTTCCCGGCTCTCTAGCGTAGTTGGTTAAATCTGACTTTCGCGGCGGCCGGGTGACGAACTTCTTGTGGTCCGTGTTCACCTCCAGGGGTAGGCAGAAAAGCCACATTTCTCAAAGAATAACGGTACCTATAATGGAATCAAGGCCGAAGGGTTGCGATATCCATAGTACCGAGCCAAAGGGTTTACAACTCATGGTTTCTGGATACTTAAAAAAAAACCCACTCTTTGTCATCTATCAAGCCTCAATATGACGGACAGGCATTTTCCTCCATATGTAGACCGAAAGTATACATTTCCATCGCCCAACTACAGAGCGGAGTGCACGGTGCAGCACTGTGAGCTGCGGATTTCATTTAGAATACTTTTCAACTGTGCCCAGCGTGGTTTGTGTTGTAATCTGCAGTTTCAAAAATGACAAATGGGCTGTTGTGATATAACTGGTGATACCTTATGCAATTAACCGCGTATGGAACTACTGATCTAGGAAAACTACTACTTCCAACGACGACGAACCGCCTGTGTACTGTCCGACTGTTTGTGTTGGCAATTCTCACGGACGTTATATGTATTTGATGCTATTGACTTTGCCGTGAATGCAGCTGGTGATATTTTTTTTTTTTCACAAGGGACAAAAGTGGATATTCTGTGTGATTTAGACTGGCACAGGAACTGAGCAACTATATGGTGATCTGTCTGCTGTGAAGCTGAAACGGTGAATACCGGAGTCACCACTTGTACGGTGAATACCGGAGTCACCACTTGTCTTTGGTTATTATTTTAACCCTCATGACTCCTAGTCTCTCTCTCTCTCTCTCTCTCTCTCTCTCTCTCTCTCTATCTATCTATCTATCTATCTCTTTCTCTCTCTCTATCTATCTATCTCTTTATCCCTCTCTATCTCTCTCTTTCTCTCTCTCTATCTCTCTCTCTCTCTCTATCTATCTCTTTCTCTCTCTCTATCTATCTATCTCTTTATTTATCCCTCTCTATCTCTCTCTATCTCTCTCTCTCTCTCGCTCTCTCTCTCTCTCTCTCTCTCTCTCTCTCTCTCTCTCTCTCTCTCTCTCTTTTCTTTCTCCGAAAAAACGAAAAAAAATGAAGAACCCCATAGAACTATTATGCTAGCTTCTCAGACCCCAAATTTACTACTTCAAGTAGAAAATGTTTAGCATTAAAAAGAGTTGAAAGAACATATGATTGGTACTGACAGGCTTCAGTGGCTAAGTCGTTTTATGTAGCTGCCCGTGTGACTTCCATGACTCCATTTACGGTTTAAGAAAAAACAAAGACCCACTGCCCATTAAGACACTCTCGTAAAAAGCAACCAATGAATGGTTTGCTGAATTCGAATATACTGGGTCGAGAAGCGCAGATATCGCAGCCTAGCTGTAAGCCTCAAAATAAGGAGCTAACCTCCTCTTTTAGGGCAAACTTTTTGGATTTTATGTAACTGTAGCACTCAGTGTCCCGCGTTGTTGTATAACGATGACAGATTTCTATAAGCTAGCAACATTCACTTTGTGACTCGTATGTTGTGTAAAGTTGACTATAATATTCGTATAGTATGCCCTCCCCCTCCCACATTTTCTCATTGTATTCTTAAAAAACGGAATTCAAGTCCTAATATTATTACTGCAGACAAGTAACAGTCGAGTTGAGCTGACCCAAGAACCGACATCACAACACTTGGGGCACTTCCATAAGCGCCCCGTCCCCATCTTTAGCAGCCAGAGAAGAGTTCCCATACTAATGGTGCCAGTAGCAGTTTGAACCCGTGTTGCCTTTCCTCTGAGCGTCGAGCATCAGCCAGATCCTCTCGTCACTCCTCTCTGCATCAGTCTCACTGGACTGTGAGGATCACAGTGTTGTTCCAAACAGTAGACTGTCTAAGTCTAACAACTTACACCAGTAGTCTAACAACGTACACAGGCAACTCACATCTGTCCAACCAACAGCCTGCACACAATTAAGCACGATCTGTGTAACGGATGTACACGCAAAACTCACGTTCTTGAACAAGACCACAGTTCAGAAGTGGACGAAGAACCAGAACTTTCCGACGGAATTTACAGCCTTACGTCAGTAGTATAACATCTTACATCAAGCAGTGCAACCACTTACATCAGTAGTTTAACTGATTACATCAGTAGTCTAATTACATCAGTAGTCGATCTAGCTGATTACATAAGTAGTCTAGTTGATTACATCAGTAGTCTAGTTGATTACATCAGTAGTCTAATTACATCAGTAGTCAATCTAGCTGATTACATCAGTAGTCTATTTGATTACATAAGTAATCTAATTACACCAGTAGTGGATCTAGCTGATTACATCAGTAGTCTAGTTGATTACATCAGTAGTGTATCTAACTGATTACATCAGTAGTCGATGTAGCTGATTACATCAGTAGTCGATCTAGCTGATTACATCAGTAGTCTAGTTGATTACACCAGTAGTGTATCTAACTGATTACATCAGTAGTCTAACAACTTATATGTACAGTCTAAAAACTTACATCAACAGTCTAACATCCTACATCAGTAGTCTCACAACACAACTTAGACTAACAACACAGCTTACATCCAGTACATACAGTAGCAACACAACAAATAGTGCGCATCCGTTGCGCAAAGAACGTATACTAACAAAAAACACAACACACAAATTACATCGATAAAGTAACAACACAACAAACAACTTACATCGATAGTAACAAAACAACAAGCAGTGCACCACGTTGTGCCACAACACATCAAACAACTTACATCAGCAGTCTAACAACACACCAGACCTCTACAGAATAAATTATACCTCTGCGGTGTCAATTCTTGAACCGTGACATTTACTCTGCAATGACAGCCTCTGTGAATGAATCCAGAGTCCAAGCACAAGCTTACAGTTAGCGAGCTGCCGTAAAGTGTGCGATCTGCTAGCTGGCTGGCTGCAACGTTACAGCAAATACTCGACAGGCTAAGACTGGTGGCGCCAAAGACTTCTTTGATTCGAGGTTACGACCTGCCCCTTAACGCGGCATCCAAGCGTGAGATAATCTATCGCTCATCGTCTGCTATTTCCTGGCTGCTACAGTGGCAGTCGGCAACCTTCTCTGGTCCGCGGGTCAAATTCAGAATTAAAAACCTGGTCGGGGGCCATATAAATAAAAATTTCATTATAATCCTAACACTTAGATTTCTCCGTAAGGCGATATTTTTGTGATATGCTCTATGAGTTAAATCCCTCGCTATGACTCTCTGGCCAGACACACCAACTGAAGCGCTTCTATATATTCCTAAATGTGTCTGTGTAAACTTGTTTCTTGCAGTGCTATTTTGTAAGCGAAGGGGTAAGACAATATAGTAATTTTACAGCAGGCTTGCCGGCCAGGAAAAATTGCTCGGCGGGTCAGTTTTGGTCCGCGTGCCATAGTGTACGCACCCCTGCTCTAGAGCTGGTAGCTTCCTTAGGGTTTGGGGCTGGTCTTCTCTGGAAAAAGGGTAAAAGGAGTGGATGCGGAATCCCAAGTAGGTCTCAGTATCTACAGAAAGCGTGCTGAGGAAGATGGCAGGAATGCTTCGTGCAGTGTAGCGTGCTTTACTGCGGTGGACACGGGTGAGTCTTGACTGGATTTTTTCACTGGGATGCCGGTGTATTGGGAAATGAACAGGCGGACAGACTGGCTTGCTCTGAACAACTTGCTG